CCTGCGGACATCTTTACCAAGAACCTTGGTGTGGTGAAGTTCTTGAAATTTCGCTCACAACTTGGTCTCCGCTTCCCAAAGTCCAGAGCTGCTTAAAGCGCCTGCTACGCTTGCGTAACCATTCGGATACTTAGCGAGGGGGAGTGTTGAACAGGCGCTGGTTTACACAGCTTGCCTAACACAGCCGTCACAAGATATGGAACGGCACAGCCGGTTACTGCAATAACCGAGGCTGTACTACTCATGTGGTACACACACAGCTTCGCTGTGTACGCACTACTTCTCTGTGCGACTGTGCATCCTGGGAATGTACTGTATAGTACTACGTAGCCACAGATGTACAGTAGTATATATAGGGGACCTCTGTACCCCCAATCTACAGTTCAGTTCACTCGAACATCTCCTCTCATCGCTCTAACAAGCCTCTTACAACCAACAACCCTTCTAGGTGAGTTGCAGGCTATCCGCTGTCGTTGCCACCCGTGGGAGAGGCCTTCGCCCCCCGGGTTCAACAACCACACCCGACCACGCTAGGTTGTTGCACCGGTGCTTCGAAAGCAGCCTGTCTTCTACAGCTGCTTCGCCCATCCGCTCACCATGCAACATCCATCTAGTAGTATCAGGGGCGTACTTGGCGGAGTCGGGGTTGACCTTCCTCAGGTTCCGAGCGACATAGCTTAAGTACAGGGCACCGCAGCTCTTTCGGAGTCCGTCTTCGGCATAGCGCGTTACGCTACCCACAGTCGGGGGTTGCATTCCGACCTACTAAGGCACGTAGCACTGGTCTGGCGGTGGCGCCGGGCTGAAATATGTGGCAGTTTGGGAATATCACGCCGCTGACATTGATTTATCAGGCCCGCCGACCTGGCAGACGTGCTTTCCATGCAACCACAGACACCATAGCTGGGTAACTAAGTAGGTGTCGAAAGACCTTCTGAAGCTAATGATACTTGGAGTCAGCGTTCATGAATCGTTCGATGAAGAGCCTTGAGCATGGAGGTGGCGTCTAAAGACAAGAGACATGGTACGTAGTGACATCTGCCGTCTGTCTCTGAACCTCAGATGTCGCCGAGAGCAAGGAAATGCGAGCGCCGTGCTCGGATTGGCTAGCCGGGGGGAGGATCAGCGATCGGGATCTCACACAGTTCAGACCCGAACTCCCACGACTGACCTCCGGGCGTTTGCAGGGCCTGGACCAGGGCGGATCGCCTATTGGAGGCCAGCGTGCCTGGCATGCTTTCTCTGCAATGACTGCTTCCCGTCAGCATGCCACTCACCTTGTCTGCCACCTCATCCAGCCAGCGCTGATGCCTGCGTCCTTCAAGGCCTCTACAGCCTGACCGAAGACCCACACAGCTCGAGGTGAGTGCGCTTCTCTCCGCTGAGACCGACCGCATCTCCATCCGCGGTCCCATCGCGATCTGTCACAGTCTAGGCCCCTTCTCGCAATTTCTAATAAAACACCTGTTCCGATTGAAACAGCATCGCCGCGTAGAAAGCGCCGCGTCCCTCCAAAGCCCTTCCAGCGCCCGCGCGCACATCTCCTTCCCAGAGGTCCAAGACCCTCCCTCCTCAGCCCCGCATCTGTCGTTCTTTACTCCTCACGCTCCTTCTTTCACGATACCCCTCCGCTCTTTCCTCGCTGCGCCTGCTCCGACTCATGTTCACGCCTCCGCCTTCCCCCGATCCTCGTCGCCCTCTATCTACCTCTGGCCCTGCGAGAACATGTTCATCAGAACGACTGCTCAAGCTTGATGTCGCCGACGATCCTTTCCTAAGTCCCTCCGCAGGCAGCTCCAGAAGGTCCTCCGTGGACTCGCAGCAACCGCATCCGGCACATGAGACCCCTCTGTCGCCGAAGGAGGACCCCTACTTGGACCCGTACTCGTACGCGCTCCTGCAGAAGAAGCGCACAGCACGGAGGATACGATGGACAGTAGTCTGTGTCCCTTTGGTTCTTGTCTTTATCGCGCTTTCTACGCGATACCTCACCCACCCCGCCGCCTTCGACGCACTGTCGTCCTCGCATCCAGCGACATGGTCGACCTTGCAGGACTGGACGCCCCACAAGCGCCATGCCGCACCAGAGCCCGTTCCTGACACCACAGGCTTCGCGACCACGATTGCAAACTCCAAGCCGACGGGCTCGTCCCTCTCGCTCGCGCCCTCGGCGAGCGCCGTCCCGACACAGGTGGACTCCGGCAACACGAAGGTCCCCTCCGCGCCGCCCGTGCTGCCCACGCCCTTCCCCCAGGCCTTCGATTCGACGTTCAACACGAACTTCCAGACGGTCGCATGCGAGAACTTCATGACGAACATGACGCAGACCCCCGCGTTCCTCAAGTGCCGGCCGTTCTCGCTGCTCGCCAGCGACTCGAACGCGTTCATCACAGTGAGTCCATTCGATCTCCGCCCGTCTCTTCTCATATCCCTTGCTGGTATGCCCGTGATACCGGGGTTCGTGTACTGCATTGTACTGCATTTCTGCCGCTCCTGTTAGTGCCGCTTGGCTTCGGACTGTGGACTGTGGACCGTAGACTGCTTTCACTTGTTTCTTGGTGGGGAGAGCTGGAGAGCGCGAGCCGGCATGCGCGGGGCGTTGTTACGCCTTGGGGCGTGTCGGATGACCTGGCTTCGATCTTTCTTCCGTAATTATTTTTAGCCGAGGTCATCGAATACCGTGAGATCAGCCCCGTCCGCATGCAGACGAAAGACAAGGAGGGGCCGGCCCAGGCTCGCGGTCTCCAGCTCTCCCGCGGGGGTACCTCTGGGTTTGGGAGATGCGAGCGAGCGACGCGTCACTGACATGCCGCCTACGATTCAAGCAGAGCCAGCGGAATATCTCACAGCTGAACGTGATCATCTGGGGGACGTGCAACACGGATCTCAGCGCGGAGCAGTGCGCGGGCAACATGCAGTGGTTCGCGGACAACATCCAGTCCGCGTGCAAGCAGGACATCGCGGCGAACAACGCGCTGGTCACCGACGCCGTAGCAGGTGCGTTCCCCCCTCCCCTCCCCCCTTTCAAATCCTTCGCGTATGGGATATGCGGCGGATGCTGACGTGCGTGAGGCAATCAGGTCTTTCTGCGTACAGCGTGATGCGCGAGGCCGCGTGCCAGGTGAACGCGCAGACGGACACGTACTGCTACGTCGAGGCCGCGCAGTCGACGCACCCTGCCGACCTCTACCTGTACGAGCTCCCGCTTGGCCTCGCGCTCCCGAACAACACCGTGCCGAGCTGCACGACGTGCGTCAAGAACCTGATGGGGACGTTCGACCAGGACGGCGCGAACGTGACGCGGCTGAAGAGCACGTACGGGCCCGCGGCGGCCACCATCAACAACGCATGCGGAGCGAGCTTCGTGGCCGAGATCAACACGACGACGGGCAATGGGGCGTCGGCGCTGGCGGGGGCAGGGGCGGGGGAGAGGGCGCTGGGGTGGGCCGCGGGCGCGGGCGCGGTTGTGGGCGCTGCGCTGCTGATGCTGTAGTTGCGGTCGCATGTCTCATCGCAAAGTCGCGGACATGCCATCTGCGTTGCCTTGCTTTTGATGCCCACGCCCTGCCATGCCCCTGTGTCACGCCCCTTACGCCCCCGCTCGCACGGCCTGGCAGACAAACATTTGTCTGTGCCTGCCATCTGCCACTTGTCGGCTCGAAGACGTGGCGCGTGCACGCGCCCTATGAACTTTACTCTTTGCATTTGCACCTATTTTTGTCTGGGTTTCGGCTTCAACTTCATATCGGGTCTCGTTCTTTCTTACACTTATAGCCGCGGCGCCCGTGGACAGAGCAATGCATATAGCCGCCCTCTCCTCCCTTCCGCCCTCCCGGGGTGTCCGTGTGTGCTCTTGTGCTATGCAGCCCGCTGACACGCGGACACACGCACAGTGTGCCTTTTCTTTGCTTTCGGGGAAGACGTCTTTCACTCAATAATTTATTGCTACATTACACTTTTACTGTACCGCGCACTTTGTAACCGGAGTAGTCTATGCAAAAGTCGTATGAGCTCCCTTCGCCAGCTCCACCTACCTTCTTCATCTCCATCCATATCGGCCGTCCATATCTGCATCTCATCGCGTTCGTGCGGCTGATGGTGAATCGTCGGTGATGCCGCCCGTCGGCGGGAATCGAATGCCGACCCCCGTACGCCTGCCAGCGCGGTCCCTCCAGCCGCTGTCGCTCGAGGGATAACCACTCCTGCTGCGTTCTTAGGTCATCCGTCGGTGCCGAGGGAGCTCCTCTCGTCATCCCGGTCCACACATTGCTTGATCTAGGGTTGAACGTTGTGGGTCCGTTCGCGTGGTGGAGGATCAAAGTGGCCGTGGCCGTAGAATGCGGGGTGCCGAGGGCGATCACTCCGGCCGGTGGTGCCGGGCACGCGGGATGGCACGCAGTGGGGGGACTGGGTAAGTAGTACGATGTCCGCATGTTTGAATTCGGTACGCTGTTCATGGTCGACCGCCGGAATTGAAGACGCGCTGACAATTCTTACCCTGACGCAGACAGACCTGAGCGTTGACAGGATCAGCGTCTTTGCTGTTGGGCTCGCATTGGGCTACGCGAGAATGCATATCATGCGCTGTACGGTAGTATGGCAAACATACTGCTCGCCTCACGGGAGGGTCCCAGCCGACAGTAAAGGTTTGAGCAGTATCTCTATCGTAATATGTAGGGAGTGCGATAGGACGGTGCAGCGCATCACAAGAGCAGCGCCGCGTGGATGGTGCGAGCTCAGTCGCTCATGGTCAGATCGATCACGTCTCCGTCGAGGGCATCGCGAGCAGACGTCTTAGGCTCCTCCTTCTTGACTTTGGTGGCTGCGGGGGAGCTACGCCCCTTCTTTGCCTTCGCACGGTTGATACGATCCTGGATTTGTGACAGCTGGGTCTGTGTTGGGAAGTGCATGAATTGGCGGGAGACGTTGGATAGGCAGGTTAAAGCCGTTGGCACTCACGTTCAAAGCATCCAAATCATCGTCGCCGTCAGAGAGCTCTGAAATGTCGGGTTTGACGTCTGCGTTTCCTGTCATCACGGGAATGGGGGATCCAGTGCGTGGACGCTTCGCTTGCGTGGGGGGACCAGGTAGAGGCGAATCCGCTTGACGGAGACGTTTTGACGACTCCACTGGTTGCTCCGGAAGGGGCGCGATACCCTGTGCTTGTAAGAGCCCTTATATGACATGAACGAGAACGCCCTATAGGTTATACTCATGACATCTCACCAAGCGGCCTATAGCGGAATATGAACGTAGCGATCGGCCCGTCCTCACGATTGAGGATTTCTGACGTCCACCGCGCTCCTCGTGGCTCCACCTCGGTACCTGACCCAAGCCTGCCGGATATCCTGAGTAAGTCGATCATTATGAGGCTCAAGCGTAGCGGGCGCACGTCACGCAGTGTACACCCGCTTTCTTTGATCGTTCATGGACTATACTTGTAGGAGTGAATGCAATATATTCTGCTGAGCCTGTAGGGTCTGCGATGGGCTTGCTTCGGCCGCGCCATACTCGCACTTGTATGGTTCCCAGATCCATGGCCTCCGTATCGTTGCATACAGCATCGTCATCTGCCGTGGTGTAGGCCATCTCAGGCATGTCTCAAGGCCGCACGATCTATCAGCGAACTTACCTGTCGTCGTGAGTGGAGCGAATGTGAAAGGCCGTCTTAGAGTTGGACCTGTACGCACGCCCCACCTGGAGCCCGGTTTTTCCCATTGATAACTCCACTGTGCGCCAGCGGATGATCCGTCTATGGTGAAGTCGTAGCGGAGGTACACACCGGACGGCAACGTCTTAGTACTCTTCCAGTTGAAAGCAAAAGTCTTCGCATTGCACGACGGCGTGACAGATATGAGGATGAGTACACTGCACATGACAGCGATGAAGCCACCAACCTTTCCTGCCTCGCTGGGAATGTAGCAAGCGAGCGTTCTTGGGCTACTTCTTGATGGCTCAGCGCCAAACTCAGCGAGTTGGTGGCCGTCACAGGTAATCCATACTTCGACTTCCTCGACGCGCATTGCGCTTCGCAAGATTGCACCGCGATATAAAGAGCGCACAACTATAGGAAGTTGTCGGATGGAGGGAATCAGCCGTCACCGTTGCTTGCAGGTGACGTGTCAGTAACGGGTTAGTGAGCCTGGCGTCTACGTTACCGTATGCGGGTTGACAGAGATTCTCCGCAGCGTCAATAGACTCTTTCTGCAGGCGATTCAGAACCAGTGGGGTAGTTCAATTTGTAAGCACTCCAGGTTCAGAATCAGTGGGGCCTTCACCCTTAGTGCTCCGCAACGTCTCGCGTGTGCTATAATGATCGTCCCTTGACTTTTACATTAAGTAGGCTCTTCTTGGCACTTTTTGAGCATGGGTCAAATTACTTTTAAGCGTCAAACTGGTATGGGAGTGTGATTCTTTGAATTCTTGCCTACCGTAGTGTACGACAAAGGTTTTCTTAGACGCCTATCGGGGCGGTAAAGGCCATGTCCCACAGAGCCCCACAGCCCCACTGGTTCAGAGATCACCAAGATTTGGTCTGGTTTCTGAACCGCTTGCAGAAAGAGTCTAATGCGGCTTCTTCGCATGAACACATCAATCACAGATCCTGAGATGCGTCAAAACCCGGAAGGGGTATCGCGGTCATCTGCTGACGGTAGCGTACAGGTCGAATTCTCGCAAATAGGACTCAACGAAGTGACTAATGCTACACAGAAGCTCAATCCAGACTTGGACTCGGGTCGTCAATCTTCGGTATACGCTGGAGGGAGCGTGGCTACAGGATGCTCTCTCCAACCGGAGTCCAACTCCCTTTCAGACGGTTGTGGGGGTCCCTCAGCAGGAGTTGGCCGTAAGATTCCAGCAACACTGTGTAGCAGGTCCTTGACAGGGGACGTCGGGCTCGAGGCGGAATTGACGGGAATTGGAGGGGCATGGAAGCTGGCGACGTCTGTAAGCACGGTGTGGTCGACGCTGTGCATGATTCTCGTTGCCGTCGACTTCCTTCCTGTAGCCGGCGCAGCGGATGGTGAAGGGACAGCCTCTAAGTCCGGAGGGAGTATGACGTTGCGTCTTCTGTCGAGCTCTGAGCAGAAAGTCAACATAGTAGGTGGTCAGGATTGTCGGGCAGAGTCAGAGTGAGAGCTGGCTTACTTTCGGCATAGAGAGCACGACGCCGCCTCCGGAGGAGGTAGAAGGTAGTAAGGACGAGACCGACGAAGAAAACTCCACCCCCAATGACGCTACCTGCCACCATTGCAGCGAGGTTCGTCTTCGACACTGGCTGTACTCTCTGCGTCTGAGTTGGACTCGATATGCCAGATGTCGACGTCATGGACCGAGAAGATGTGAATGGTGGACTGGTTGGTGCCGGAGTGCTCGATAGTGGTCCTGGGACGATGATTGGTATTGTGTTCTCCGCAGGGTCTGGACCGACGACGAGTCAGCATACATGGCCCGTTGCAATGATGACAAGTGAGAACTGACGGATGCCTGCGAGCCTTTCGGCTGTGCTCACATCGAACTCATCCTTCTAAATATACTGTCAGCGATCTAGCTCCTATCCCTTGGGGTTGGGGGAATCTCACTGTAATGGGCAAATACGCCCATCCAGGTACTGCCGTGTAATTCGGTATAGGGCTTGGAAACCTGAAAGAGGTCGTCACTAGAAGACGACTTCGCGACAACCATGCCACGTACTGTTGCATGTACAGAGGGTAACATGAGGCCGAAAACTCCTCCCAGCTGAGCGATGTGGTTCAGCATGAACGGGGCACAGTTCAACAATGGATACGTCAGCTACTCACGGGTCGATAGAGAGACCGCGACCCTGGCAAACCGCGCATGCCGCCATAGTAGAATACCAAACCGTTGTGCACTGACAATCCTGAAAGTTACTCAGGGGACTTGTGTAGTTGGTCCCGGGTGCAAGGGACGGAGGTATGATGCAGCCATCTATATAGGCAATGAACTCCAAGCGACCTGGCAAGGTATGTCGAGGGAGAAGAAAGACATACCAGGACCAGCACAGCCGGTACCGCTCGCGCAAGAGTCCCACAGATGGGCGCTGACTTCGCAAGGACTTTGGCCCAAGGAGTTGAATGTCTGCAGCGCTGGTCAGATAGAGAATGTGCAGATACCACGACGAATCAGTAATACCCAACCGAAGTCTGACAAACAGGTTGCATTCGTCGTCGCAGTGTTGTCCATGTTGGGGATACCCACTTATGAGTGGAATGCAAAATCAGGGATGCAAGCTCGAAGATCAGATCCTGCCGAGCCGCATCGCCAGCAATGCGGGGATTGCGCGAAACTGAGAGCATCGTAGCTCTACGAGTTATGAGCACTCGGACTGGCAACAAAGGAACAGCAACCACGCAGCCACGTGAGATCGCCCATACAGCTCTAAGGGAGAGAAGACAGGTCTCCCTGGGAAAAAGATAAACGAGCGGCCAAGAGAAGCATCAGAGTACAGCATAGAACAGCCTTCGACTTAGCGCCCTCAGAGGGTGCACTAGTGTTCACCTAGAGTCTGGAAGAAACCCTTCAAAAAGCAGCGATGAGATACAGCAATAAGAACTGTTAGTTACCGTCAGGTTGTAGTCGCGGTTGTGACGTTGACCGGCCTATTTAAATTTGGGGCTCGGTTCCGGGCCGCCGTTCAGCCGGTCAATGGCGGTGCCTCAGCGAACGCCATCATGATCGGGCCTAGTAGCGGCAACGCCTGCCAGTGCATCCGAATCCAACTCTCAGCTTCATTCAAGTTGAATCTTCTCGTTCATGCGGTGAGAAAATTTGCTTGACCGTGGTGTCAAAGATGAAGGAAGCAATTAGGACGTTGAGGAAGCATGGATCCAGTAAGCTACCTATCATTGCATCCCTATCCGATGCTAAGTGCCTGCGACCTGTGTTTGGTCTCTGTGTTTGGTCTTTGGAACATCTGGTCGCGCCATGACTAGTCTGCGGCCGTGGCCAGTACTCACATCGGCCGGACTTGGCGCAGTCGGCTCACTTTGACAACCCGATCGTTGGCCCAATAGTCGTTGAGTTATGCCCACGTCTGTTGAATGGCAGCCACAGGACCATCATCGCCACCAAGTCGGAGGAAGTTCAAGTCGAAGAAACGTATCAGAATCATCTGCTGTAGCGTACAGCCAAAAAGTTCGCACAGGAAACAAAGAAGTAGGTCGCACACCACAGCTCCAACCCAAGCTCCGACCATCAGTCTTCAGTATACGCTGGTGGGAGCGTCGCTGGAGGTCCCTCCCACCAACCAGAGTCCAACTCCCTTTCGGGCGCTTGAGGGGGTCCCTCCCAGCAACGCTATGTTCGTTATGTAAGTAGCGGCATTTTGACCGGAGAAGTCAGGCTCGGAGCGATGTTCGCGGCAAGCGGATCGGAAGGGAAGTGGACAACCGCAACGTCGGTGAGGATGGTGTGATCGGTGCTATATGTGCTCCTCGCGATCGATTTCCGTCCTATAGCTGGCTTAGTGGACAGTGGAGGGGCGACCTCCCAGTCTGGAGGAAGTATAACGCTGCGCTGTCTTTTAGCAAGCTCTGATACATATAGGGTGGCCAGTGATGCCTCGAGGACGATCAGAGTGGAAGCAGCCTTACTGTCAGCGTAGGCAGCCCGGCATCGCCTCCGGAGGAAGTAGAAAGCCAAGACAGCAAGGCTTATGAGGACGATTCCACCCCCGTTGACGCTTCCCGCCACGATACCGACAAGGTCCTTCTTCGACACCCCTTGTCCGCTCTGCGTCTGCGATATAATAGGGGTGGATGGGGGTAGATTGGGAAGGAGCGGATGACAGTGTTGGAGTAGCAGTAGCAGGTGCCGGGATGCTCGAAAGTGGTCTTGGGACGATGGCTGGTATCTTATTTTCCGCCGGGTCTTATATGACAGCAGGTAAAGAATAGTCAACGGCAGTGATCATAATTAGAGACTGACGGATTCTTGCCAGCCTGTGGGCTGTGTTCAGATCAAAGGTGTCATCCTGTATGTGCCATTAGTGGTCTAGTCGCTGGTCCCATTGAGGGTGTAACGCTCACTGCGATAGTTAGGTACGCCCAACCAGGTACTGCAGTGCCGTTTGGTACTCCGGGACTCAGGAACCTACAATCTGATCGTTAGGTGCAAAAGATATCGCAGTATAGTCACACCTACTGTTGCATATATAATGGGTCACATCCATTTGAGTATACAACCCATCTGAGTGACGCTTCTCATTAACGCAAGACATACAATGGTGCAGTAGCGGTGTGGCGAAGTACTCACGGATCGATCGCGAGACCGTGGCCCTTGCAAACCGCGCACGCTGTTAATGTCGAATACCAGACCGAAGAACACGGACATACTCTTAACTCCAAACCGAAATCAATGCTATCTTGGAATGGCTCCGTGTAGGTGGCGCCAGGGGCGAGGGCGGGAGGGATGTTGCAGTCGTCACAGCCACCCCCGCAAGAGCGGACTCACAGCTTGGATGTAACTTCGCAAGGACTTTGGTTCAAGGAATTGAACATCTGGGAGGCCGATCAGCATGGTTGTTTTAGGATGAAAATGTTATGGCAAAGCAGTACTACACAGTCGAATCCTGCACAAGTTGCAGGTCGCATTCGTCGTTACGACATCATCCCCCGTGATGAAAGAGCTCATTGATGAGGCAGGTGTAAAGTCAAGAAAGCAAAAACAGAGGTCAGACTACACCGCGCGGCCCGCCGCGTCGTTAGCAATAGGGAGGATGTGCACATATGGGAACTGTCGCAGCAGTCTGTATTATGGAACACAGAGAGAAAGTTTTCAGCTACCGTGCACTTGGCCATCGTAGCAACCTGTACTGCATATCAGGTTCTGTCAACCCTGCGAGTCTGCCGAGCGTGGTTCTGCACGCATACAGCAAAGAAAATCCTGGGCTAGACAAACGGACTCGCACACACCTGTGACCAGCACGATGTGTTATCGATTCATCATCTGATAAGATTGGCCCAGAGCACAATGTGGGGCATCACGTGCCATTCCTGTCACGCTTTGGCGGGGAAAAGTGCGAAATCTGGATAGGCTCGGAGCCCAATTGACAAAATGGCGACCGTAAGTTTGTTGCGGAGTGCCCTTTCTACAAAGTTACGGTTTTCGATTTTCTGTTTGGGGGGAGGGGACCGAGCCTATACAGAAATACGCGTCGACCTCCCTGCCAATTCCATGCCAAATCGTCGCTGAGCGCCGGCGGGGTTGTCACCCTTTGGCGGAGGGCACGTACGATATCACGCTGTGACATAGCCCCACATTGTGCTCTGGGTCAATCTTAGATCGGTTTGGTTGGTGACAACCTCGAGAAGCATCATGATACAGTGCGGTGGCAGGATTACCAAGTCCGAGTTGGAACAGGAAGCGCATTCGGATTGTTGCTCTAGGTCTGCACCCCTGATCTGATTTGCCAGGGGCTCTCGACGCGCGACGGCTGGGGTGAGAATGAGAGGTCCAGCGACACTCTGTGGAGGTGGTCAGTGACGCTGAACGTGACCGGATCAATGGCCGGTTGGGTTCCTGGTGGCTGTGTGATGGACGAAAGCGCCATCCGACATGAGCAGGCGTCACTGACACATCGTCCGAGGCGCCCTCTAACCTCCTTCGCCCTTGCACCAAGAATGTAACGGTCAGTCTGCAGCCTGGTCCACCATGTCAACATGGCAGTGACACACGTGTTCACGACACTGGAGAACATCCATCCCTGTGACCAAGTCCCTGCATTGAGTACTTGACCGCTGCGGATCACAAGATGAATGCTTGGGCCCAAGGGGTACACCGGTACGTACATTATTGTTCTTTCCGCCTTGGGATTCCTAAGCGACATGCCATCGGCCACTATCACTCGAGGTGCCGACCATACAGCTATGCTCCGGTCGCGTTCAGGACCAATGGATAGATTGCCGTAACAGATTGAGGGTGCCATTGGACTCGGAGCCTGAGAGCGTAGTAAGCGGTCCTTTGCTTTGGTCTTTTGCACTTTTGATCCGCTACTTTCCGTTGAAAGGTTTTCGTGGCTTCAGGGGCGGCCCTGATTATGCAAATCTGTGGTCACGAGCGCCCCCGCAAAGGTATAAGAAGAGGCATACATGTCGCACAACTCCTCCAACCCAATTGCAACTCCCATCGCATCATGTCCTTCTCTACCTTCTAATCACCTGTCTCAAAACAAACTCTCGTCATGCTCACGCCCTCATGGGTTCTGTCTTATTCGCGCGAGGCCGATAAGCTACTATCACATTACTTGCCGGTTTATCTTGAGGCATCTATAGTTCCGCGTCAGTACGTGTCTCCGAAACCAAACCCGCCTTGTCTCGTTAGCTGACTGAAAGAAAAACAACGTTGACGCATCCACCAGCTATTACAGACCGACTACTCTGCTGCAGGTAGCTGACGCATGATGCCGGCGGGTTCCGGCCACCAACGTACGTCCCTGATCATGTCTGTAGTTCGACAACAATTCGTTGAACTACTGAACTTCTGCAGGGTATGCGGGGACGCCTCCGCAAACGCGAACGTATTCAGACGTTGCTGTGCACGCCGATCAAAATGGGGAGCTCGAGCAGCACGTCACATCCGCGCTGTCGACGCAGCCACTCCAGGACGCGCCTACCATCTCGATAAACAATTGGCCAAATATTCGGACCGAACCTCTGACTTGGCAACGCCAGCACATATCGACGCCCTACTCCGCCATACCACCGCGTTCCATTTCTCCGCATCGGGTGTCGATCTCGAGCTTACCCGACACATTGTCGCGTTCCACACCGCCAGTTCTGGGAGGAAGGGAGTGGTGGAGGTCGTCCCTCTGACCCGCATTTCCCCGCCCTTCTTCGGGGCCACATCATTCCCTGCGACCTTCTGTCCAGCAACATGATCGAAACTCTGCGACCTCTTCCTCAACTATGAACTGTGCGCTCCTCATGTGGAGGAGGTCGAGCGAGGTCATGCTGAGCCTTCCGGAGCATGTGGTAGTGATAGGTGAGCATTCATCGATGCAGTCTTGAGTTGACCGTTCTGACACCACATCCAGCTCACTCGCGGGCATAGGCACCGACCTAGAGCTTCCCTGTTTCTCGCGTTCCCCCACCGTTTCCCCGTTCCTTGGCAATCACCCTATGTGGGGCTGGTCCGGGTGCATGACTTCGTGAGTGCCGTCGTGGGCTGCTGACGGTGATAGTAATCGGCCCAGGCACATCCTGGGCACATTCCTTGGACGTAGACGGGCTGCCCGACATAGGCGGCAGGTTCTTGGGACTAGATCTAGGGGGTGCAGCTCCTAGCGGAGGCGTCCGAGCCCTCGGAGTCCGTGCTCCTCCGGCCACAGCCGTTCTCCACGTATATGCCGCCCCCAACCGTGAATGACAACAGCCCAGCCTTCCTACACAAGCACTACTACACCCGCTGATCGCGTCTCGCCATCAGCTCAATGGTCCGTTCGCCAACCCGCGTCTGATACCGGCGACGTGTCGCGTAGAGGAATCATTCCTCCCATGGCCTCTCCATGCCACAGTACTCCGCCCTCGAGCTCGAACACTCCCCTCACGCAACCCCGGACCTGACTTGGATGGTGGTCTTCGTGATAGCCCAGATTGACCGCCTTGTGCCGCTGGAGAGGGCTTGCTGCATCGCCAGACTCGACGGGGTCCGCGCCTCTCCACCGACTCACCTCCCCAATCACAGTCATCAAATCACGTCCTCTTCGCTCCCTCACTTCTAGGTGTCCGAGTACCTTCTCGTTTCGTCTGTATGCTCTGGCGTATCATCTTCCTCGCACGAGGCCGATAAGCTACTCTCCAGGCCAATGTTGGTCAACATCAGCCCAGTGGACCGCACTCTCCTGGGGGTTGAAATGGATCACCACCTTAGGCCACGTTAAAACGCGGCCCGGAGAGGGCGTCGGTTGCATCGGAATCCTCACGCGCCTGCTGGAGAGAGGAGAGCCAGTCCGCGTGATGTACCGTTGACCTGAAGTTCACCTTCATATCTCTGCGACGGTATGTGCCTGCCTGACCATCTTTGCCTGAGTTCAACTGCTGACAAGACCAAATGTCAGCCAGCCTTCACATGCTAACACTCCACGTGAGGAAACCAACACAGGAAGTTTGCGACCTTCCCAGAGCGCCGTCTCGCCACCGATGTAAGTCGTCCGTCATGTCGCGAAGTCTATGCCAAATGATTGAGCTACCGTATTCCAGAGTGCGTCGCGCGGCCTCCCACTCAAGCGCTAACATTCGAACTCTCGGCACCCGACTTAATCGGGGAGCTGGGGAACATCATACCTGCCAGCGCGACTTTCCCGGTCAGGTGTCCCTTGCTAGCGACTCGGACGAGGTGAGCCCCAGGATTCGCCTTTCATCTCGCTGAACATATCCTGAAACACTTGAATCCGTAAAGAAAACACATACCGTCGCCCTGCGCGCTTTGTACCTCCCTCTCATCCTTCCATCTTACCCCCAGGGCGGTCTCGCCCTGTCTCCGTCCTCCTGCTCCTCAGAGTCCTTCCCGTCCTCAGTCGACTTGTACATTCGGGAGCGAATGGCAGAGGACGTCGCAGAGATGGTGACTCGCGATGAAGCGTTCCCCTCTCCGGGCTCATCCGTAGGGAGATGGGTGACATTCCTAGCTCTTGTCACTCCCACTAAGGCGCAGTCGTTCTCTGCGCCTGAAGCCACCAGAGGGTCTCCACGCAGCGCAAAAAGCGGGCGGACTCCCGTTCTTGACGCCCGCAGGCGCTTCAGATGGCTACTACAGTGGGGCCTTCGTCCAAGATTTCGAGGGCTACTCCGCGTTCGAGCACATGTCGGCGCAACCCGGCTTCACCTTCAATACCACCATCTTTGTCGCAGCGTCTGCGTTCCCCGCAGGATATCCTATCCCTTCAACCACGACGCTGTATTCCAGGCAGTTATCGAGGTCCCCCGCCCCCGAGCATTCGGCTAGTCCGAGAGTCACGGGCCAGCATCGTCGGTCATCCCGGTCCCAGCCACGACTTCAGTCCGCGTTCTCTCATGGTGTGAGGCGCGATAAGCACGATAAGCACGCATGAAGACTGCCAGGCGAAGGGCGAGGTCGTATATCGTCGCACACGTCATATATAGACACATCGATGAATCACATGTATATACATAGCTGCCTAACATTGCGCTTTGAATATACAATGCACTGCTTCAAAGAAGTTTGTACGACGAAACGTACTCCTGCATGTCTTCGAATAGTCATCGCGAGCCGCAGTTACAAGTCGTAGTACGCGGATCGGACTGACGAGCTAACCCCGGTTCTAGGAAACAAGGTGATGTTCTGTTTTACAAATATGTCCCAATCGCTTTCGCCTCAAATTAGCCTCCTGTCGCAGTGCGAGGTCAACACCATGTCAAATGTGTGGGTTCAGGGGGTATTTGTCACATACCTCTCATGAAGCAGTCTTCAGCAGGCCCAATGCTTCTCTCAACGCTGCAAAGCCTTGGTCTAGCTTGTTGTTCGCCGTACCTAGGTTCCTCTTCAGACGACGGCGAGTGACGGCAATGTCAACGTGGGGGTACATATTCTTCACAGCGAGCCACCCGCTCTCCAAGTGACCTATTGCCTCCTCGGATACCACGTCGTACTTCGTACCCTGTTGGCACAGACCAAGCAGTGGGGTAACGACCAGATAAATGCCGTAGGAGAATGAGTGGACGAACAGGCCGGCTTCGCGTTCTTCTGCCGACATACTGCGCGCGACCGCTTTCCAGTCTAATCCCTGAATTGTAGTCGCGAACCGCGATAGAATACCTTTCCCGCGATGGCGAATGAGATCTGTTTCCGCGCGAGATAGTGGTGTGTCTTCCGAGAGCGCACTCTGTAGACACCTAGCGACGCCCCTAGCCGCCTTGATCCAAGATAGGAACGAATCGAAATTATGAAGTTCTGCCTGGTCCACGTCTTCAACGCCGCTCGTACACTGTGAGTACTATCACACGTATCAGTAACCGGACACGCCAAGGGTTCCAAGTGGAGACGGACCATTTTGACACGCCCTGTACGACAACCGCATGCCTCGCGCTTGGTACATTGCAAGCTGGTGTTCGAGTCTCGACAGAGCCAGCTCGGCAACATCCCCGCGTCCACCTGCGACCAGAGAGAACGTCGAGGTGCAGACTTCCACGTCAGGGAAGGGCACGTTCGGAAGGAAGCGCTCCAATAAAGACTTCGAGTGCGCCGTCCACTGAACGTACATCTCTGGCGACAGTTTCTCGCTGTCAATGGCGAGCAAGTGCCTCAGGGCTGTCAACACCGGACGGACGAGGAATTCCTTGCGGACGCTGTGCGTGTGCCGCCACGCGCTCTTTCCCCACTGTCCCTCCCACGCCCCGAAGATGTCCTCGAAGCAGAGCGTAATCTGCTCTCTCGGCAGGTCCGAGAGAACGACGTGCAACGTCTCGAGGTAATGTGTGGACAGTGTGGTAGTGTATGGCATGACGGCAATGCCCCGGTCGAGCTCCCCTGTCGCGTGCAGGATGTCCGACCGTTCCCGCCCACGCCAGCCTGGAGTTTCCTCCAGCCTACGGGCCCACAGATCCAAGGTAGCGAGGCAGCGGAACCGGTACTGGGTGAGGCGACGGATCGACCTAGCCCCTGCCTGAACCATTCTGATCACAACGTCTCGGCCAGTGCTGTACATGATGTACACGGCCACCGCTTGCGGGGAGCGGTAGCAACAGTCCCATCGGATTGTCGGCAAGATCGTCACGACGAGTTGGAGAATTACGAGTGCGCCGACGAACGCCGATGCGGAAACGGCCACGGTAGGATGAAGAGTCCACAGGCGGATGAGCAGCCCCGTGAAGAAGAACACAAGGGCAATGTGGAGTAAGAGCGACGGGATGAACACGATTGCACCTACGCGCCAACGCAGGAGGCCATTCAGACGGTATTGACGGAGCCGCGCACTTTCTCGTGAGGTGCCCGAAAGTCCTACTGTAAGTCCGTTTAGCCACTGCTTGACGATGAGAGCGATCGAGGCCGACGCCAGGCTGCAGATCAGGCTCGCGAACCAAAGCGTGTTCATCCAAACCGCCGTTGCCGCCGGCACAAAAGGCGGCTGAATCTGGTTCAGCGGGCGCGCGGGCTGGCTTGAGTTGAGGAACTGGCCGTTGAACGAGAAACCGTCGATTTGTTTGGATATCTGTTCAAGGACAGCGAGAGTGGCATCGTTTGGACCTGGCTGGAGGAGCTGATAAATCTGGATGTTGAATGTCGTCAGAACGCCCGACAGCAGACCAGCCTGTGGCAGGGCGCCTCAGTAGTCATATCCATACTCTACACCTTGTTCACTCACGAACACGAGGAGAACGTCGGTTTCTTTCTGCCACCGTTCCACCAAATTGTCGTGATAGTCCTTGAGCGCCTCCGCAGCGCTTTGCCATACTTGGGCTTTCTGCTCTTAGGTGAACTCCTCTTGAAGCTCTTTCCTCAACTCCTGCAAGTTATATGAGAAAGGCCGCGTTTGCAGGATCACTAGCATGCGTTAGATGATGCCTTATTTCACGAGTTGGGAAGCTCCAACTGTCCGGCGACGAGCAGTCTCCATTGACCTCATCCAAGTTGCCCATGCTTGTTCGAGTACAGTAGACAGTAGGAATCAAGATTGCAAAGAGGGATGAAGCGAAGACTTGTAGACAGAGATGCACCTTATGCAAAGGAGTGTAGGAGAAGTGGAGTCAACGCACAGAACACCGTTGCCACCGTTATGCACCTTAAGGTTCGATGCATGGTCCGGTGTACAGACGGGAGGCGAGAAACGCATCACCGCATCAGCTGTCAAACTAACATAAGAAGCAGGAAGAGCGACAAATTGGATACAGGGTTGATGCATCCTCATGACTCCCTTCCAAAACGTGATTATGTCGCAGCAAGCCCCTACCCTTACAACGTCAACGACGTAAAACAACGTCTCCTACTACTAGTCCCGCTCTGCTCAACAGCGCCGCTGGTCATCACAGTGCACCGAGAAGGTCTTCCTCTACACCTTGTTCAAACATCGTCTCTGCCGCGATCCATAGTCCACGGCGAGTCTTTGTGTTCGGCAGTGGGCGTATCAGGTAAAAGATCGTCGAGCCAACGCCGACGCGCGTAAGGACACTGGAAGGGGAACAGACGCTGCCGCCGCGGCTCTGCGTCGTGCCCAGCCAGGATATGCTGTTTTGGGAGCAGGAGCAGTGAGAGATATCAAAGTAGGGAAGTAGTTGTGAGGGCCCAGTACACGGCTAAACGTGCATTGAGGACAGTAGTACTAGTACATACTGTCGTCTTCAGAGAACTCCGACGGTGACAATAATATGAGAACGGGGTTCGAGTCCCTCCCTCATGGGAGCCGTCCATGAATGATATTATTGAATATCATTGATTGGTGTCAGGCCTCGGCACGTTCCGGATGCAGTGCCCAAAGTCCGTCCGGACCGTTCGGATACACCCGGGCCACCGCTTCCTCTACCCCCACTTCGAGTCCCTCTTGCCAAGATCCGCTGTTGCAACTTCATCGAAACATACTATCAGAAACCGGAAAGATGAATATGAAATCGACGCAGGTATCTATCCATCGCTGAGTCCATGACACGACCGGACTGTCACGCTTCGAACAGGGAAGTTCTTTCCGGATCGTTTGACCACGGAACATGTCTACAGCAATTCCTCCTGGTCTTTGCGCATCTCTGTGTTTCACAGGAGCTGCTGGGCACGTTGTGTGGAGCAGAAGTATTGCAAGCATTTTTCACTTGAAAGGTGTGACCACTGGCAGCGAGCTTGCCCAGTGGCTGCGAGTGCGTCCGGAATGGCGACATCTACCATGCTTCTAGCCTGCTTAATCCTAATGCCAGCCATAAGCTATGCTCCGGTCGTGAGGGACACAATGGTGATTGGTTACGACTCCGAGGACGCTTCCGCAGCACATTGTAGGTGTATTTGAGGCGCCGCAGCCAGCCCTTTGCTTTGACCTTTGGCCCTTTGTTCATTGCTATGGCGCTTGGAACAGCTTGCGTGGCCCAAGACAGCCATGTCCATGCCAATCCGTGGTCGCGGGCGCTCCTGAAAAGGTATGAGAAGGCATGTATCCTCCACCGCCTTCCACCCAACCGCGCCTCCCTTCAGAGCACCACGCTTCTCAGTCTCACAGCTGCCTCCTTTTTTCATGATTGTCTGGGTTCCATCTCTCCTGTGCGAGGCCGATAAGCTACTATCACATTACTCCCACCATACGCCATTCATATCTCCGCGACAGTACGTGACTTCTTGACCACCTTGGCTGTGGCTCAACCGCTGACTGAAACAACCATCCCTAGCTTTCACACTGCGACACGCTACTAGGTGCAATCGACGCAGGGAGCTCGCGAGCTGCCGCCGCGTTCCGCCCACCGACGTAAGTTGTCCATGGTGGTGTATCCAACTCCCCAGCACATGATTGAACCACTGGTACAGGGTGCGCGACACAGGCACCAACCCACGCTCCTCGCGAAGCACGAGTACCGAGGTACCGAGCCGTCGGACGCCAAGGACGAGTTTCACGTCGACAACGGCTGTGGGCTCTGCGGAACCTGAGAGCCAGAACAGTGAGCTGAGCCTAGATCGGTCTTCTTGTCCATTGTGCGGTAACACTCCTGTAGTTTCTGGCATCAAGGAGATACACTCGAAGCCCCCATACCCCTTGGATGTTGAGCAACATCTACACGTGGGGTCACTTCGTTTGTCTAGTCGGTCTTATACTTGCTCTCGTAGTCCTCGCCTCGACTCTCCACGAAGGTACGTGTCTATTGGTCATAACTGTCCCTGGTCATCTTGATACAGTCTGATGCATCCAATGAAGGCGTCGCAGTACCTCGGAGTCTTACGGCCGGGGTTCCCCACTACACCCCGGTGAGCCCGAGGGGGGTCTCGTCCCCTCCGTGTCTGCATGCCATCCCCATCCCTCATCAGGTCCTTGACTACTTGATTCATCTGTCATGGTACATATTCCACACAGACTTCATTGCCCTCGGCGCCCATGCCATCCCGAGGTGATAGGTCGAGAAGTCGCTCTTCAAAGTGCGCTTCATTCCTCACACCAGTGCAAGCCAAATTGCCCGTCGCCACTTGTTTGCGCCGGTCTCCGCCCTCACCTGGTAATTTGATACTCAACCACCCGTCGTACCTCAGAATATGACGCCCTGTCACTAGGAGCTACACCACCCCTGAACCATAGGCTCGCCCCCTCCTAGTCTCGCGCCATGACCGCCCTTAGCGTTCATCCCTATCCACACCCCCACCATATGCCCTGCATCGCACACGCGCATCCCGACGGCATCCCATGATCACATCCAGACCACTACCGCCATATCGTTCTCGTCCCTGCATCAGTATCACATTGTGAAGCGGTCTCAGCACCCCCCATTTCGCCCCATCGCTGGCGCTCCTTATAGCCTGTATCGCACACACGCATCGCGACGGGATCCCAAGATCACATTCAAACCACTACAACCATACTCAAACCTCTACATCCATACCCTCTCATTTACGGACGCACATGGTGAACCTCTCGCACCACGTCGTCTGTGCGAGGGCCGCGAGAGTCTGTCGCTTCCGCATGAGGAGGACTGCCGATGCTGTTGGAACCATGCAACACGCCTCCTCATTGTACTACATATGTGTATAGTTGCCTATAAAATCGCACTTTGCATACTATGCTCGCATTGTTGTGTCCGCAGGTAATGTTCCCGTCACTCAGCAGATACACTCAATCTGGAGATAATGTCCGAGAAACACGATGCCTCGTCGCGGTCAATGTCAGATTATCATGAAATGATGACTTGGGCTGTCGCACTGTCGCACGCAATTGGGAGGCGTGCTGTGGCGGGACCAAATACAGCAGCACTGATCATGTTCATGCGCTCTCGACCGCGAGGGCGTCTTCCATGTACGACGCTACATGTCATGTGCAGCACCGGTCGATGACCGGGCATAAACGTTCTCCTGGCTGTTCATTGCAGAACAACATTCGCATCAAGTATCAATAAATAGCTCCTCTGACATGAAAGTCCCCAGTAAAGCGTCATGCAGAACCAAGCTCCTGGTCATACTTTCTCAATAGTAGTCGCTCCACCCAACCTCTCGGGGGAAACGGCTTCTTCCACTGATTATGCAAGTGCACTGAAAACACCTTCCCCAACACGTTGTCCAGGCCTCCGCCCTCCTCTCTGCCGTAACCCATAGTCCACCGCCCGTCTCTAGGGTCGGAAGCGAACGGGTCCGGTAGACGATTGTCGAGTCGACACGAACGCGCATCCGAAAAGCAGAAGGGGAGTACCTTGAAGGGTGGGATGCCGCCAGCGAGCAAACGCCGCCGGAGCTTGAAGTAGAGGAGCGCACCCCAGTCGGTCGTGCCTTTGCGCGGAGGGTCAGAGGTGACCATGACATGGAACGCTTCGCAGAGGTAGGGGGAATGTTTGCGGAAGTGCATGAGCGCCCCGTTCATCGGGACGTACTTCTTGTCTACATGTCGGGAATAGGGTCGGACGAAGTTTTCGTACAATGACCAGAACAGACCACGTACCATAGCAATCCCACTGCGTCACGAACTCGTGCTCCAGCAACGGCGCCAAGTCCCTCGTCAGCAACGAGTCCATATCGATCCATACGCCCCCATACGCCCAAATCACCAGCAGCCGCACCAAGTCCCCATCGATCCACGCCCGCTTGTCGTTCACCTGGAGCAGCGGGCTGCCCTCGAGCTCCGTCCCACGAGCGAGGTGCGCGTAGTCCACGACCTTGAGCGCGAACGCGTCAGGGTAACGCGCGAGCCACTTCTGCAGGATTGGGTTGTGCGCGAGGTCTCCGTTTGACCACAGTATGAGCCGCGTGCGGTCCGTATCCTGTGTCGCGAAGAACGACTTGAGCATCCACTCCTGACGCGGCCCAAATGGCGCGAGGTCCGTGCGCCAGTACGTGTGGTACTGAATGCGCTGATCGCCGGGGATAGGGCGGGGAGGAGATGAGCGGTGGAGCGGTTGGACCGTCCCCGCGAACTCGTAGCAGTCCATGCCGAACTGCAGCGTAGTTCCCGCATGAACTTCTGTCCGTCGTGGGCCATATAGCGCGTCCGTTAGGTTGTAGCTCGGGGAGACTGCGCTGGGGCTGAAGCACCCGCCGAGAGGGGGGACCGTCAAGATCTCTTGCTTGACCCATGACCGGTTGTAGACCGCTATTTCAACGTGCGGCTCCCAGTACAACAGGCCAACGATGGCGAAGAAGACGAGCACAGGTACCGCGATCTTCAGGAATGCGAGGACTCTTTGTGGGCGGAGCAGTTGGCGGACTGTGTAGTCCATCCTCTGCGGTAGGGGTGTCCCTGAGGGACTTCCTGAGCGTGAGGACCTGTGACGAAGAGCAGGACTAGACGGTCTAGAGTATAATGGTATCGTGTCTTCAGAACGCGCCATGACTGGAGGCGACTTCCAAGGAGAAGGTCGTCGCAGGGATAACCCGGTCAGCGAGAATACTGAGGGTCCAGCTGAAGCCGTTTCGACCTCCGTGACTGATGCGGATGGCTTGCTGAAGTAGCTCGGGAGGTCTAGTGTAGAACTGAGCCAGCGAGGAGGTCAGAGCATAGTGGATCGCCGTAGCAATAGGTAAACCATCGTTGCCGATGGACGGGTCCGTCAACTTCTGGGCGCACCTGACTGCGCGCGTTACGGACATGAGAGCGTCACCCGTTCGAGTGCAAATTCACATCTCGATATCTGGCAAGACCACACGATATGCATTCCAGTCCACGACGACAACATTACAGCTACATGCAACGAGCGAACACATATTGGCAAGAGGGATCCACAGGGGGTAGTAGCGAGTAGCGAAAGTAAACGATAGCCGTATAATACGAGTCGAGGGCGATTGAGGCGACGGGAACAATTCAGGAGATCAACAGCTTAGAGCGTAGTCCTCTAGCGCGATCGCATTGGTGTAGGGCAGAGAGGGGTTCAATGGGGTGTAGGGCTGCTATGCAGTGGTGCTGGTGTTGGGGGTAACATTGCGATAATGTCAGGGGCAACGCGTCCAAAGGTGTAAGCGTAGATATTGGTTCGACTGGAGGGGGCGGAGTAACAACGGTGCGAGTCCGACAGGAGGCTGCGATGGTGAGGTGCGTGAGCGGGAGGGTCGAAAATGCGCGTCGATAGTGATAGTCAGGGTGATTGCGATTGGTTGTGTCGGTAAGGCGAGGCGCGATGCGAGTGTTCGAGGTGGGCATATGATATCGTACAAGGATCCCTTCTTGTTGCGATGAACTGAAGTTGCCAGAGCAAACCGAAAGAGCATTGTGTGTGTCGTGAGGTCGAGCCAACGTGGAACAACATCCATCCACGCACTCTCCCCTCCTCCTCCCCCGCTTCTCCCTTCCTCTCTCAACTAGAACATCCTCCTAAGCACGAAGACGAATCGCGATGGGACTAAGAAGGCTTCATCGCGCTACTGGAACCCCGCGGTACCCGTTCGGATATGGCTGCTGTTGAGGCACGGGACCACCGTTCACGCGTTGCTGCGGAGGCCCGCTTTGGTACATGACCTGCGGCGATGCCTGTTGTCTCGTCTGCACCTGGGGAACAGGCTGGTGCGCCTGTCTCTGTGCAGGCTGAGGCTGAGGTTGGGGCTGCTGAGCAACGGCCTTGCCCTTCTGCTGCTGCTCCGTGTTGTCCTCGGTAGGTCCCGTCGGCGCGACGTATAAGCCCTTGTCGATCTGCTGGGGGATCGGCTGGATCTCTGTACCGAGCTCCTGCTCGATCTTGTACAGGTTGAAACGGTCCTCGTATGTGACGAGGTTGATTGCGAGACCAAGATGGCCGAACCGACCCGAACGGCCGATACGGTGGAGGTACGTCTCCGCGTTCTTGGGGAAGTCGAAATTGATGACAACGTTGACGGCCTGGATGTCGATACCGCGAGTGAGCAGGTCCGAGCAAACGAGGTTGCGGCATACGCCGTTGCGGAAGTCATGGAAGACGCGGTTGCGGTGGGACTGCAGCATCTTCGCGTGCGAGTAGAAACACGAATAGCCGAGCTCGGTGACCTTCTTGGCGAGGAGCTCGACGCGATTTGTAGAGTTACAGAATATGATAGACTGGTTAATTTGCAGCTGCGGATAACGTTCATATCACACGAGCGATGATACGCAAGGATGGGCGGCAACACACCTTGGAGAATAAAGTATTGAGACAGTGCACCTTCTGCCGTTCTTCGACATAGGCGTAATATTGGGTGACACCACGGAGAGTGAGCTCCTCCATGAGGTTGATTTCGTACGGGGACTTCATATGTTTCTCCTGCAACACGGTTGGCAAACAATATCGGCAACAGCAAGCGACAGGAACTACGCACTTTGAAGTCCTTCACAATCATAGGGAACGTAGCGCTGAACAGCATGACCTGGCGAGTCTTGGGGAGGTAGGAGAGCAGCTGTTCCATGACGGGTGCGAACTCGGGCGACAGTAGCTTATCCGCCTCGTCCATGACGAAGACGGGGCACTCGCTGAGATCCGCAACGCCCTTGCCCGCAAGGTCGAGTATACGTCCAGGGGTACCAACGAGGACATGTACGGCCTCAGATAGACGTATGATATCGTCTTTGAGGGTCGTGCCGCCCGTGGTGACCATCACCTGGATGCCCATATGCTTCCCAAGCGTCTTGCAAACCTGGGCGGTCTGCAACGCGAGCTCACGCGTGGGGACGAGGAGCAACGCCTGAATCTTGTTCTTGCTCACGTCGACCTGCTGAAGGGAGGGGATGACGAATGCAGCAGTCTTGCCTGTACCGTTCTTGGCGCGTGCGAGGACGTCGCGTTTGGTGAGTGCGATGGGAATGGCCTCTTCCTGGATGGGGGACGGTCTTTCAAAGCCGGCCTCAAAGATGCCCATGAGAAGTTCCCGGCGAAGGAACATGTCTTCGAACTCGACTCCTTTGGTGGCAGTCACGTCTTCGGTCTGCGGACGGTAGTCTTTTGGTGGTGGGCGCAGACCCGTCTTCCAATTCTCAGTATGCCTACACCACACAAGGTCAGAGGAACATATACCAACGTGAGGCTGGCTACGCACGAGGTGGATGAGGAAGGGCGAGGTTGCTGAGCCATTGAGGTGGCGAGGGGATGTGTGTCGGAGCGGGTGTGTGGGGAGTGTCTTTGTCTAGTGCAGGTTCTGAATGATGGCCGGGAGACAATGTCAGTCCAAGGCTGGAAATGGGCAGCAAAGTGGGACGGCGTTGGCAGCGGCTATGGAGGTACGGGCGTTGTGTTGGCGGGAGGGTGGTCAAGGGCAACACGATTCGGTTTTTTGGCGACGCAAGTGCTGCATCTCCCTTTTCCCACGGGTGGCTTATTTAACCTATTTATTCCATGTGCCTTGCTGCCTCAAATCCCTTCTGAGCGAGAGCTGGCAGCAAGTCTGCGCGTACTGCCTGCAGTTCCAAGCGATTCGAGTGCTTGAAGAAGAGATCGTGTAGCTCGAGGAATCTACGCCCAGATATCCACTGGAACGGAACAGCGCCTCAAACCGCCTTGGCCTCAGTAAATATTAATTCAAGTTGAACCCCTTCAACACGGGCACGCTACCCATCCTACGAACCGCACTACGATGCACAACGCCCGCGATGAGGTTCAGCGCATATGGAAAGTCTCGAGCAAATCAGCCTTCTCATTCATAAACCGCATGTCGCTTGTCTCGTGCCCAGCATATCGCGCGCTTCAGAGCACGAGGGACTCACCAGGAAAACATTAACCTTCGGTTTATCCCAGGCACCACCCGTCGCGGAGCAAGGGAGAGCATTCCTAGACATCAACAATCGTCTACTTGCTGATTGTGATCAGAATTATCCACTCCAGATCAGCCTGCCAGGTGTTGTCGTGATTGTCCAGGCGAAGCAGAGTACTTCAAATGCTGAGGCAAACCTGTAAATTCCAGCCCCATGCCTGCCTCGAGCATGAGTCGTACTAACCACTGAACGTTTGACTTGAAACTTCATCAGCAAAAAAGCGAAACGGACGGTCAGTGATGACCAGGTTCCGCAATTCTGACCACATTGGGCAAGGTATGAGAAGTAGATGGTAAACCCGTACCAAATCCGCCAGGTGTGGTCTGCAATGGCCAGATGCCGCGGGGCGCCTGGACATTGATAGCCATTTCTCGCTGAGCATTCGGACAGCAGCTACCATATCATAGGGGAACTAAGGTCAATAATGTACAAGTTTGACTGAGTCAATGAACATACATGGTCAGTATCTGGGGCAAATTCTACCATGGATGCCCAAGCTCAAGCGAAACCATGCTCAGGAAGTAGCCAACGAATTATCACACGATTTGAGTTTTGTTTTTTTCTGATAATCAATGATAATTGGACGCGAACTACTATACATGGAAGAAGGGAGACATGGAGTTCAGTTACACACACCTAGTGTACGCAAAAGAAGGAGGGGTTAGGGTTAGTAGGACTGGTGCTAGATGATCAGGAGCAAGGACGATTCCGAAACGCAAAGTTACAAGTACACGACAATGTCAATGCAAAATACGAAAGGTCAGTGAGGCGCCAATGCTTACGGAGAGGGAAAGAGCGCAAAGGAATAGTATGCGCACATTGGACATACCTAGACGTCGAAGCCAGGGGGGTGGAACCTAGACATTAGTAGCTATGGCCCTCTTGTCACGACTCACAAAATTAGAGCCCAAGGGGCATGTTGTAGAATTGGCATGTCGTAGCGGGTGATAGAGAAGAGATGCGAAAGTGGTGTCGAGAGGTGGGGGTTTTGCAAGCGAGGGTTCAGGGCAGGGCTGGCAGAATGACAGGCCATTGATTGAGTTGCAAGCCTAGAAAACGCGTCATCGATGAGCAAGATCGAAAAATTATCAGTGGAGAGCACACGTAGAAAGAAGGCAGGGAGCGGATCATGAAGGGAACGTCACCACACCGGGCAGACGCTCACAATGGCTGTGGACGATGTCGTCCACAGCGACAACACCATCTGACAGCACGCGACACTGCTGAGTTGCCCCGTACTCACCCGCTCTGCCCGCATCGGCACTTCAAG